GCCGGGCGGGGCGGGGCCGGTCCGCGGAAGTCCCGGCCCGCCGCTTCCTGCAGCCAGCGGCGCGCGGGCGGCGACCTGCGGCCCGGCCTGGGGCTCCTCCCTCTTTCCTTCCTGTTTCTAGAATCCTGCGGGCGGAGTGGCGCGCCCGCACCAGGGACGCGAAGCGGGTGCTCTTGCCAGCGCCGCCGCGGCCGCCCAGCCCGGCCCGGCCCTCACGCCGCCCTAGACCGCGCTCGACCTGCCCCGAGCGCGCCGCAGCCGCTCTTCCCGGCCCACGGTTTTTCCTCCTCCGTCCCGAAGACAGGGCGGTGGCTTCTCCTAAACGCTCACGAGCTGTCCCGAGCATGGGTGCCAACATCAGGGATGGAACAGCCAGGGCCTGCGTGTCCAGTCTGACCCGGCCAGGGCTTCCTGCCCGGTCTCCTTCCCCGTGACAGTAGGTAGGCGTTCCACACGAGGGACTTGGGAATTGGCAGTAACAGCAGCCTGGCAAGTTAAGGAGTAGGACCGGGGCTGGCGTCCGCGGCCTGGGCCTGTGCAGCTTCAAGGCCACAGGAGCCTGTTTCGTGGATGTGGTGGCCACCTTCTGGATCTAGCCGCGGGCCGTGGGTGGCCACATTGGTGGCTCTGGGCAGTCTTGGCTGGAGCCTGAGAGGTCACCCGGGTGCTCACTGCCCTACTTCCGGCGACTTCTAGCTCCTGCAGAGTTGTGGAGGCAGAGGTGGCCTTGTCACTGTTAGGTTTTTCTGCACAGCAGAGGCAGAAGGCAAAGAAGCCTGTACTGGGGACAAAGGCCCCCCGGAAACGGCAGGGACCTGACCTGAGACGGGGAGCTAGCGCTTCGCGGCCTTTGCTAGGGGAGGTGTTGGCACGGGCTCGGAGCCGCGCAAGCTGCCTGGCTTTTCTTCTTTTCATGCGGGAAGGTAAGCGGAAGTTGTATTCAGGGCTGAGGGGAGAGGAAGTGGTCCCTGCGAAGAGAAGCTGCTGTGTGTAGGCTTCAGCCGCGTGAGACGCCCGAAGGGTTCAGCAGTTGTACCGGCCAGAGCCTGCCATCCTCTAGCTGTCATTCTTAGACTTGCGTCCTGCTGAAGGGCGGGGCGGGGTCCTGCTGGGGACAGGGAGGACACGGCGGTTCCGCCCAGATGGAGGACAAGGCGGTTCCGCCCAGATGGAGGGCGAAGGCGGTTCCTCCCAGATGGAGGACAAGGCGGTTCCCGCCCAGATGGAGGGCGAAGGTGGTTCCGCCCAGATGGAAGCTAGTGCCGCGCGGCAGGCGGCCGGCTGGGATGAGAGGTTCGTCATTAGCGAAGGCTCCATCCTGGATTGAAGAAACCTTGAAAAAGCGTTAAAAAGGCAGGGCGCTAATGGTAGACATGCCATCATCGTGATTAAAGGACCCAGAGGGGAGGCAGGAAGGGCCCGAGATCTAACCGTGGCATTCCACCGTGACCAAGGCCGGCGGGAAGACTGATTTCCTAGCTCTGGGGTTTGTGCTGCAGCCAGTTTGCGCTCCGCAGCGCCTGCCCTTGGGAGTGCCTAAGCCCAGGTGGCGCTAAGGGAAAGCGCCGAGGCCAAGGCGGCGCACTCCAGGGTAAGTGGGGAGGGGGCCTTCACCAGCACACTCGCCTGTTATTCCAGATCCACTGACTGTGGCATATCTCCCCACCCCCCTTTTTTTTGGTGGAACTAGGGATTGAACTCAGGCCCTTGTGCTTGCCAGGCAAGCGCTTATTCTACTGAGCTATCTCCCCGGCTCATTTTGCCCTGTTTTTTTGAATGTCTGTTTTTGTTGAGCTATCATCTATGAATGTTGTGTCAGAATAGGTGTAACCACATTATTGATCACCCGGAGATCTTGAACTAAATTATAGGAGACATCAGGTTTGTGTACAGGAAGAATGGGAGTATTGTATGGTGAGTGGGCATTTCTAAGAAAACCATTCTTGAGGAGATGTCAAATTATAAGTTTGAGTCCCTGTTGTGTTTAGGCGCTGTTGGATATTGGGGAACACAGGGAAAGCTGAGGGATCCCTGAGGCAAACTAGTACAGGGGTAGTGTGGGTGGCACACGTGGGACTGGAAGTGTCCCAGAGTACAGGGTGGACAAGGGAAAAGGGAGGAGATGGGTTGGCAGTGCCCTGCAATGAGGTTTGGAGGACAAGAGCCGTGGGGAGGGAAGAGGTGAAGGAACAGCTTTTGGAGGAGATACCTATGCAAAAGGGATGTGGGACATGTTGGTATTACTAAAAAAATTGTGAGTGAAAGAAAGAGAATTTGAAGCCCGCAGGGGATAGGTCCTGTTTGTAGGGGCTGTGTAGGTTCGCCATCAAACTCCCACTATGGAGACTGTAGGTCTAGTACAGTGACCTGAAAACTCAGAAAGAACACTATATGCAACCCGAGTCAACAAGAAAAGCCTTGCCTGAGATGCCGTGCAGACTCGGGGCTCTGACAAAGATCCTTGGTGGGGGCTGTTGACCTCAAGCCCTATCAGTCCTCTTCAGTGGCAAGAGCAAAGAGGGCGACTTGGATGGGTGTGGCTGCAGCGAGTTTCTGGACGGCTTACCCACTCTGGCACACAGGGCAGCTGTATTTCCAGTGACCTCGAGCTTGCAGATGGAACCAGGTCCCAGCAGGGGCCACAGGTCGGAGCAGACTTGCGCCCAGTGGCTTCCACCACACTCGAACGTGGCCCAGAAGGGCTGGTGGTAGCATTTTGCTCAGGCTCAGCACGTCTTGCCTAGGTCCCGCTTTGATGGCAGCCCCGGTGTTGCAGCCCAAAGCTGGCACTTGTGTATGGTGAAGTTTTTGTCTCCATTATGAAGAGCCAAATTATGTAAGACTCCCTGTGGGGTTTACAAGCGGAGGAGCTAAGCTTGGCGTGAAGGTCAGGAGCAGATTGTGAGATGAAGGGGAGTTGACACTGGTCGTGCCCTCGGGGCTGAGGGTCACGTAAGTGTGCTAAGACATCTGTGAGGCGAGAGAGAAACTCAGCAGCCAGCAGTGCTTTTATCAGGACTCAAGTAACTCTGCAGAGCTTCTGCTTATTTGTGGCTTTGTGGGAGATCTTTCCGAGACCTGCTAGCTGATTAGGGAAGACTGGGGAGAGTTATATATCTTGTGGCTATACTTTTTACTGGATGTTTAAGGCCAAGTTGGGTTTTTTGTTTTTTTTTTTTAAAGATCAAGTTGGGGAAAAAAAAAAAAAGTTGAAGTGAAAGCTGTTAATTCCTGAGGTCAGGGATATAGTTCAGTGGCATAAACACCTACCTGGCAAGCGATGGCCACGAGTTCCATCCGCAGTACCACAAAAAGAAAAAAAATAATAATTTCTTACTGTCAAGGCCAGGATTGGGTTTTTTTTTTTTTTGTGCAGGATGGATAAGAGGAAGTTGAATTCAGGGCTGAGGGGAGAAGACAGGGAAGTGGTCATTGGGAAGATAAGCTGCTGTTTCTGGCTTCAGCCCTGTCAATCCACCACAGTGGTTCAGCAGTTCATACTTAGGCCAGAACCTGTCAGTCACCGCCCCTCAGATTTCTCAGGAGCATCCAGGACTGTCCCCGTCAAACCAGTTACCCAGCAGCGGCCTCATTAGTGAGCAGTCCACACCTTATTAGAAAGGGAAGGAAACAGGCCACAAGGCCCGGGGCCACACCTCAGGCTGTGTGCAGCTCTGTGGCAGAACTCCTGTGGGGGACCTGCCCTTAGCGCAGTTAAGCGCCTGCTTATACACAGGCAGCCGGGGGCAGGACACTGCGGTGCGACCCCACCTCCACCTGCTGTTCCGGCAACCTGAGCCACCAAAAAAAAAAAGACAGAACTCACCCTACAGAACCTGCTTCAGAAAGGTGCTGTGCGGACAGCACGGCTCACCCTTACCAACTAAAATGGCCAGAAGGGTGTCAGCCAAGGAGCAGGGCTGCCAGAGCCTGTCACACGCCGAGATGTAAGGCTGCACACGACTGGCCTAAGCACAGAATGCGAGTCCAGACTGCCACGGCCTGCACAGCTCTCAGAAACCTCAGGGTGAAGGACGGCAGAAGATAGAGAAGTAACGGTAAGAGGCAGAACAGAGGAAGCGGAGGAAGCGGAGGTCAGGTGGAGCCCTCCCGTGGGAGAAAGGACCTGCTCCAGGACCGCACTGCTCCTTTATGCACTTGGTGGGTGCCGTGCGACACCCGCCCTGTGGCAGCTGCTCGCCCGCTGGCCCTGGCATCTGTTCCCCACAGTGCGATCAGGCTCTAGCTGGCCGCTGCCCACGCCTGACTCACTGGGTGGGACAGCGAGCAGGAGCTCAAGCACGGACAGCCCACATGGCATCTTTGGTGCTTTAATTACACAACACAGCCTGGCCTCATTTACAAAACGTTTATTTACTTTTTGAACTTTTTCCTCTTTAAAGCCTTCCATTCACCTTCCTGTGTAGCCAGGCTGTTAAAGAGCTGCTTTACTTTTCGTTTTCTTTCAGCATCCCTGAAAGAAATGAAAAAATGCGGGCCTTCAAGATTTCTTGCCCTTTTCCCGTGCAGACCTGCTAACAGGCCAGTGGCGCACTGGCCTGCGGCACCGCGAGTGTCCAGCTGTGCCCCCACCCGACACACACAGCCTCCTCACCGTTCCATGATCTCAGAGAGCTGCATCCTGGCCAAGAACTGGTTGTCCTTTCGGATCTCCCGGACAGCGCCTTTAAACTCCCGCTTGTGTTTGTGGATCAACCGCTTCCTCTCCTGCTCTTCCTTGGTGCTGCCTTGTTTCCTTCCAAACTCGAGGCTGGAATTGGAAAGGAGGCAGTGTCAGCAGGGTGGAGCAGGCTTGGCCCAGCTATAAGCCAGAGCCTGCTGCTCCCGTGGCCTCTCCCTGGGCCTGCAGGCTGCAGTGCCACCCTGGGACTGCCACAAGGTCACCTGACACTCACACTTTGACCAGCCGGGGAGTGAACAGCTTCAGGGGGACGGGCTTGCTTTTCTCACAGATCAGTGGCCGGTAGAGCTGCTTTTGGTTTTCCATATCGTTCAGTATGCTCTGAGATAGCTCCTGGAAAGCACAACAGAAGTGGTGTTGGGATGGCCTGGCTTGGGTGCTCCTGGGCCCATGACAGCCAGCGTGGACAGGTGGCGCGCTCACGCAGCCGCCATGACCCGCATGGGCTGAGACAAGGCTGCCTTCTGTAGGTAGGAGGAGATCACTCAAGAGACGGTCTTGTCCTCCCAACCGCTCTGGCCCCCCTGCAGGGAGGGATGAAAGCAGGACGCCACCAGTCAGATTCCCATTGTAGAAGGGCCAAGGGAAGGCTGGCCCCAGAGCTTTCTGCCACAGAGCAGCACTGACGCAGCTGCCCCACTCAGGTGGCTGCGCCCACTGCACCCCTCCCCCCATACAGGGCATGGCCGGGGCGGCAGGACAGATGCGAGCGGCTGGGCCTCGTGTCTCCTGACAGTACCAGGCCGCTAAGCTGCTTTCCCCAAGGTCTCCGGTCTGAAGGCCACCTGGGTTTGTGGGAAGTCCTAGAAGTCCTCTGCAGTGCGGGGCTTGCTGTCTCTTGCACAGGTGCCCCAGAACCCAGGCTAGGGTTGGTCTGTGCCTGCCTCACTGATACCCTCGGCCTACCTGGGTGTCACCCAAGTGCCCAGAAGCTATGAGCCTTATCTCACCCTAGCTCTGACCCCACAGGGCCAGAGAGCCAGTCCACGCTTCACACAGGAGGGACCAGCCACAACCATGCTCGAGGGTGTGGACACACAGGGTGTGCTGCTCCACCCGGACAGCAGCACAGCCTGCCCTGGACTTGAGGGAGCTGCTGTCAGCAGGGGTGGCGCAGGGAGGGGGCACAGAGGAGGGGCGCAGCGGAGCTGCAGGAGGTGGACAAACACAAGGCGGCCAGGCCCAAAGCTGGATGCCACGGGTGCACTTGGGCTGTTGTGGAGCAAGATGCTGCTTGCCACTGCAGGGCACAAGGCCCAGAAGGGACATCAATTCTCCTGACCCTAGGGGTCCAGGCTGCGTGGGAGGACCTGAGAGGCAGGGACGTGCAGGAAAGGGCAGAGCACAGGTGGCTGTGGCGCTGAGGCTTCTGACACAACGCGGGGCAGGCACCCTGAAGCACAGGCCTCACCTGCAGCTCGGGGGGGTGGCTGCGCTCTGCCTGCTGCTCCTTCAGGAGTGCCTGGAGGGGCCTGACGATGGTGTGGAAGGACGGCAGCGCACCGTACGTGACCACGCAGCGTCGCAGCAGTGCCAGCGCCGCAGCCAGGCAGGACAGTCTGCAGGGAGGTAGGCAGGGGCAGCTGGCAGAAGTGCCTGACCACGGCGCTAAGAATCCCGGCAGGCCCCGAGACTGAGCAGCGAGGCAGCAGGCACGTGCCCGCCAGCAGCGTGAAGAGGACAGCTCAGCTCAGCTCCCATGTTACGACCCGCCAAAGACAATCTAGGGCCTTAACTGACTTTATGCCCAACACTTTTTAATAAACAAACAAACAAAATCATTTATTTTAAGACAGGTTCCTGCTCAATCAGTTATCCAGTCAGGCTTGAACTTGAATCTTGGAGTGCTGGGGTTATGGCTTTGCCACCTTGCCCAGCTGGAAAAAACGTACAATTCTGGGACAAGCCTTCCCGTAACATCAAGATGCCCTGGGGCTGGGGAGATGGCTCCGTGGAATGAGTGCTTGCCTGGCAAGTACAAGGGCCTGAGTTTCATCCCTGGTACCACCAAAAAAAAAACCACCAAGATGCCCTGCAAAACTTCTCAATCTGACAGAACCAAATGGTCACGTGGGGAAACGAGAAAAACCATACAGCTCCTGGCAGTAAACAGATTTCTGGGGTGTTGTCCAGTTTCTAGGGTGTGGTCCGCACATACCTCATGTGGTTGGCCTCAGCCGTGCTGGGGACACTTCGCTGGCTCGCCCACCGTAACGGGAGGCTTCCCCTCTGCCATGTGGCCACATCGTCTTTGTCAGAGACCAACAGCAATTCAGAGTTCTTCCCAAGTGCTCTGAAAGGGTGCACCAGAGTGGAACCTGAATTCCAAGTGCAACAGGACAGAGAGGACAGAGGTGTTACTGGCTTGTGAACACCTCCCCAGAGCCCAGGGTATAAAATCTCTCCCTCCACCAGGTGCCAGGTCAGGTGCAGAGCCTTGGCGGCCTTGGGTGGACCTCTGGCAGTGGTGCAGCATACCACACGTGGCTCTGGGGCTCAGGCCGCACCACAGCCCACTGCACTGCCCTGTGGGGACAGAGGCAGCACACTGCCCGAGGAGCACACCAAGTGGCCAGGAGTGAAGACGCAGAGAAAGCAGTAGAGCAGCGTCACAGTACTGTGCACGGGGCAGCTGAGCAGAGGTGATGGTAAAGACCTGGGCAACGTGCAGGAGGCACAATTGTCCCCCAGAAGGACCACAGGCCCAGGGACAGCCTGTGGGGGAGAGAGGCCAGGCTTGGCTTGACAGGAGGTGGCTGGCAGGTGTGGACAGAGGCCGCCTTGTTCCAGGCCCCGCAGGCCACGGTGACTGCTCCTGCCTGGTGCAGCCTGCACTAGCACTTCCTGCTGCAGCTCACTCTCCACATGCGTGCCCACCTTCCTGCTGCCCCGCGGGGTCTGTCTGGGCCCCACACAGGAGGTGAGTGCTACATGCATGAAGTCACACTGTGGAAGGCCAGCCAGGCGGATGGCAGACTGGTGCACTACGAGGAGGCCCTGCCGAGCAGCCACCTTCCAACAGTGTTCAATGATTCCCATGGAGGTGCCTGCAGCTCCGTGCTGGGCTGGTCCCAGGCCAGCCTGAGCAACACCGTGATATGCCGCATTGAAACACAAAAGCTTAAGCTGGGTGGTGGTTCCACCTGCAATCAGCACTTGGGAGGCGGAGGTAGAAGGGTCACAGTGAGTCCGAGGCCAGCCTGGGCTACCCAGTGAGACCGTCTCACCGGCACAAACTGGGATACAACTCAGTGGCACTGCACTTGCCTGGCAAGCACAAGGTCTAAAGTTCAATTTCCGATACCAACAAGCAAAATAAGCCAAAAATCAAAACAAAACCAAAATAATCACCCCAGAATATAAAAAACAAATCTGTTGTTTTTTCAGGGCAACACGGCCATGACTTCTATACGAAGAATCTTCCCCACAAAGGAAAAGCAAAAAAAGGAAAAAGTAAAATTTATTCTCCCAGCATTATTTTATGTAGCCCAAAATATAGTTTCAGTATAATCCAAAGACCTGTTGAACACCCCACAGGGCACCCCAGGCCACTACACGTGGCCACTACCAGACTAGGCACAGAAGGCCAGGGAGCCGATCTGAACAGGGGTGTGTGTGTGAGAGAGAGAGAGAGAGAGAGAGAGAGACAGACAGACAGACAGACAGACAGACAGAGACACGTGCCCCCAGGGAAAACACAGGCCACCCCACCCCACAGGGCAGGAATTCAGAGCTTTGTCTGTCTTCTCCTATATGTCAGATTTTTGACAATAAATATACATGAACTGCTTTTAAAACACCCTGAAGTATATTTCCAAAAAGCTCCCAGAAATCCACTCACTGAGGCTTTGCTTGTTTGGAGCTGCGATGTAAAGAATCCCAACAAGGAAGTTCATGAGCTCAGGGACGAACCTCCGAGACAGAGACACATAGTCCAGGAAGAGGCCACACACGAACAGGCCTTTCACCACGTCCTGCAGGGACAGCACGGGGCACTGCGAAGAACCCACAGGGGACAGTGACTAGCACCTGGTTCCCCAGGCCAAGCAGGCACTGTGAACAGAAAACCCAGTGCCTGTGCAGGGGTGGCACACCGTGAACTGCTGCCACACGCAGGGTGCAGTTACTACGTTGGCCACACACCAAATCCACAAGGGAAACATCTACACCCTCAGAATGAAAGCCTAGCTCTGCCACGGCAGGAAATGTCAACTTCCAGGCTCCTACCCTTGACTGCTAACCCAGATGCAAGCTGCTGGGGTAGAGTGCCCCGGGAGGGCCTGGATCCCAGGTGGGCCGGCAGGCCCAACGTGGAGGAGCAGACCCACCTTGGTGAGGATCTGGCTCATGCACACCAGGGCTGGGGTCACAACAGGGTGCCAGAAGTCGGAGGTTGGAAACAACAGCCCGGCAATTTTCAAATAAATGAGCTGGAAAAAAGGTATCACAGATTACAGAACGCCAAATGCTGTCTCAACAAGCCCTTTAAAGGTGGACCCAGGGGCAGGGGTGGCTTCGGTGGCACATCCCTCACCCTGTCCCCCTCTGGGCACCCACTCCTCCCACACAGCCAGATCCTGATCATGCACGGGAAGAGCTACTTGCCATTGGCTGCCCAGTGCTGTCTATGCCTCTGCTGTTCAGACTAGACTCACAGCTGCATGGGAACCCATGTCCTTGCTGCAGGAGGCAGCCCCTGGGACCCTGGCATGCATGCTACCCACCTCCCCATGTGGGCCAGGGCACATCCCAGCACCCAGCAGAGCTGCGCCCAGGTAAGTGCCGAGCCCTGCCCCACACCCGGTGATGGGACGCGAAGCCCACAGCTCATGGGGCCGCCACAAGGGCCAGAGAAGATGCCCTGCAAAGCCAGCCTGCAGACGACAGCCCAACACACGCCACTCAACATTTTCACTTTCACCAAAGCTTTCCAGACATATTATTGAGAAATGTGCACAGAGCCTTAGCAAAAGGCAGCTCAACTTTCCACAAGAGCAAGACACGTTCTTTCCAGTGTTCCTGCACCGTTCGTTGGCGTCAACCTGGTAACCTGGGTGGCAGCCCTGAGTGAGGATGGAGCTATGCGTGCACTGCGGTGAGGCCAGGCACAGCTGGGCATCTTGAACATGACTTCCAGGGGAGAATGGAAGACTTGTTCTGCCCCATGAACTGCCAGTGGCCAAACTGTCTCCCTCCTATCCTACAGACAATGGCATTTCAGTAGTTCACTTATATTATGAGATGAGTGGCAGCAAAATCACTGTGCAGAGCTGACCGACAAGCTGGGGAGAGCATGTGCGGCTCAGTGGACAGTGACACGATGGTCTCTGGCCACAGAATCTGCCACTAAGATGGGTGAGCTAACAGAATCTGCAAAGGGCACGTGCACAGAAAGCAACTTCCCTTGCACGCATGGAGAGATGGGCAGCTTCACACACCGGGACAAAGGCCACCGAGCCCCTACGCTCTCTGCACACGGGCGGAGATTGCGATGAGCCTGGCAAGGCTGTGGGGTTAGGAATGGGGAGAAAGCAGTGCCAGGGCACTGAGGAGAGGCACGGATGTGTGGTGGAGGGGTCCAGAGCCTGTGCCAGTGGGCATGGCCGCAGGCGTGCCAGGGACGGGAATATGGGGTGAGGTGTAAATGTGGAGGAGAGGGGCTACGGACAGCCAAACACAGCCCTGAACCAGCCAGGAGGGCAGAGCCTGGGCATCTTAGGAGCGGGTCCTGGGCACTGCCCCACCGCCAGCCCTGTGACCCCACTGGAGCTCGATTCCAGGCAGCTGCAGGCAGTGACTCACGGAGCCCCGCCTTGGCTTACCACATCTAATCCAGGAAACGGAGCCCGACCCCTGGTCTCGATCATCTCCTCCATTTCATGCATGGCATCTCGGAGAACAAACCGTATGGAGCTGCTTGCGGACTCAGGAAACATCTGGCAGAGGCTATACAGCTGCCTGTTGAGCAGACAGTCAGCACAGCATGACTCCAGACAGGAGTGCCGAACACTGCCGCCTGCGTGGAGAGCCCGGAGGCCGAGCTCTGGCTGCTCTTCTTCCAGCACTGGGACCTAACCGGGGCCTGCAGCTCTTCCTGCCCAGGGCAGCAGGGGCCTCCAGAGCCGAATGCACCCGAAGCACCTGAAGCATTCCAGCCAACAGAAGAGGGAGCCGGGAGCCACCATGCCGTCCTGAGCACCTGCCAGGCTGCCTCTGTAAGAGTTGGTCGGGCGGCCCAATACCAAGGCCCAGGTCTCTGAGGCCTGGGTCACAGAACAGCAGCAGGACAGGCTACCCATGTGCATCCCATATACTGCAGCCTGCCCGGGCCTTGACACTCCACGGACAGGGAAAACAGGAGCATGCCACCAAGGCTATCGAGACATCTGAAAGGCTCAACTGTTTTCCAGTTAAACCGCTCATGACCAGAAGTCAGTCCTGAGCTGGGTATGGGGGCACACACCTGCAATCCCAGCGCCAAGGAGGCTGAGGTCAGCCTGAACTGCACAGTGAAGCCCCATATTTCTGCGATGACAGGGCAGCATGTGTTGTACCAGGACACTCTTGTGAGGCTTGGTGACCCCAGAACCTTTCTGTTTGACTCTAAATAGGACGAGTTCTAGTCCCACCCCCCAGTAGAACAGTTTTACTTACACGACCAACTTATCAATTACTTCCAGGTCCGGTGGATCTCTTGTGGCCAAATCTCCAACATATTCCAAAAGGAAGCCAAACAGCTTCTACAGGGACAGAATGAAGGACAGCTCAGGGGAAAGCTATGGGCAGGCAACTCGGGCGACACCTTGCCCAGCCCAAGCCCCAGAGCCTGACCCAAGCGTCCACACAGAATGCAGGCAGATGCTGCCAGGTCTTGCCCTGCACAGGGACGCAGAGAGAAAGTGAACTCGAGGCAAGCATGTGCCCCTCACAACAGAAGACTGATCCGATTCAACCAAACGCGAACGCTGCGGCACCATGCACTCACGGCACGAACGCATGTGCGTGTGGCCGGCCCCCCTTTACCCCGGCAGTCCCGACCCTCGAGAGCTGGGGGAGCCTCAGCCGTCTCACGCGTGACATGGGGGTGACAGGCTGCCCTGGAGGTGCGAAGGTACACATCAGCCCAGCGTACTTCTAGTTTCGCTTTGTTCCCCACAGCAAGACTTGGATGGCTGCACTTCTGAATTCTCTCCACCACCAAGAGCTGTTCGTCCACTGATCTTCCCACCAGCCATGACCTCAGCTCCTCATAGGACTCAGGTGCTGTGAGAAACCCAGGAGACGGTGTTCACCAGGAGCGGCTGGCCAGCGGCTTGCATCTTACTGTGGGGCCGCGACCATCCGGCGAAGTACGCGCCTGACCTCGCTGGGCAGCTGGAGAGACTGCGTACCAAGGACAGCGCCAAGGTGTGACCCTGCCTTTCCTCAGGTGCAGCCTGCTGGCTGGTCACCAGCATCTTGGGACAGTAATGGTTTAGGGCCCTGGTGCCCCAGACGAGGTGAAGAGCTCTGCGAGTAACAGTGTCACCTAGCAAGATGCCTAGTCACCAAAGACCCCCACGTGGAGGCTGGTCTGCCCACTCACTGTCCCCTCCGGAGCTGCAGGCTGATCTGGGCCTCATGCTGGGCAGGGAGGTTTCCTCGAGCACAAGACACCACAGAGGTGCTGTCCTCTGTACACATGGCCCAACAGGAGCCAGCACAAGAAGCCACCCTGTGAATGACCCTTGAATCTCCAGGACCACCAGAGTGTGGACTCCCGCCATAGGGAGCACCCAACTCATGTGTCCATCCTGGCCACGTGACCAAGGCGACCACCGAGCCTGCAGGCTCCACAAGAAGGACAACAGCACCTGTCTATTCAGCAAAGATGTGGCCAACACCAATGTGCCACCCTTCCAGGGCACTTGGTCCCCACCCCACAGAGGCAGCCCTGAGGGGAGGGAGCGAACAAAGGTCCATGCTGTGGCCAGGTCCCAGAGGGAGGTCACCCCCAAACACAACACCCGCCCCCCCAGCTGCCTACCTGTGAAGGTGTAGGGCAGTTCACGGCCAGCAGCTTTGCAAGCTCTCTGGTCGTCACCCTTGGGTCTCCTGCCAGGGGCCTGCTGCTGCTGCGGCTGCTGCGCTGGCTCATCATCCTCCCCGCTCCCCATGCTTGAGTCCAGGTCAGAGTGGCTGTCTGTGTCGCTGCTACCCACTCTGCCCCCTCCCTCGCTACTCTCCTCTCCACCCTCCGCCTCCTCATCTTCATCCCCCTCTTCTTCCTCCTTCTCCTGGCTCTCCGTTTCCTTGCTTTGCTCTTGCCCAGTATCTTCCTCGATGTTCATCTTTCCATCCTAGGAAGGGAACGGAGACATAGTGTCACAGCATGTCACGGCCCAGGCAGAGCTGGCAGATGTGCTGAGTGCCCCCCCTCCCCCCCGTCAGGCTCGCGGCTTGGGGGTGGTTTGTGTCACAGGAGCACACTGCTGGAGGCCTAGTCCTCAGTACGACACCCTGAGGGGAGTGAGGCCTGGGGCAGGTCCTCAGCTCAGAAGGGCACTGTCTGGGGCTGAGATGGTGTTAGGTGGCTCTCTGGCCCCTTGGTGTGTCAGGACAGCAGTCGTAAGAGCAGCAAGCGCAGCCCCTCCGATGCCTGCGGCTACACGATCACTCTCCTGCACCCACCGGCCCTGCAGCATGGTGCCGTTTTTCGTAGGGCCCTTGCCAGAGTGGAGCAGAAGCTGGCACTGCCCTCTCAACCTTCCTGAGCTGTGGGTTACATAAACCTCTTTTTAAAAAAAGTTGCCCAGCCTCAAGTACATTATTATAATAGAAAAAAATCATAAAAACACAGGACCCTCTGGGTAAAGCCCTGGCAGTGGGCTGCACAGGTCTAAGACTGGAGGGTGTTGGGTGGCCCCGGGTTCTAGCTGGTGTGAAAGCCTGCAGCTTTCTGTTGCTGGTTTAGGGACAGGAACAGAGGACAACAGTGGTACCCTGATTTGCAGACTGTCCTCTTCAGGTAAACCAGTACTTTTGTCAGTACTGTGTTTCCTGTCTTGGACCCTATTCTGCTCAAAATACCAGGCCAGTCTGTTCTTCACCAAGGCGTGACTCCTCTACTCTAAATGGAGTTGGGAGAGAGACCTGCACCAGCTGTGGAAACTCAACTGCGCTATGTAAGAATGCAGAACTCTGCCCCTAAGCTCGCTCTCAGTGCTACGCCGAGGTCATGTAGTTAGTTATAAATCATGAGACAGATGCTTTCTTTTGGTCTTCTGAAACAGTCTGTGTAGCCCAGGCTGGCCTTAAACAGGCAGCAATCCTGCCTCAGCCTCCTGCGTGCTGGGATTACAGGGGTGCACCCCATGCCTGGTTATAAACCATGGGATTAAAATGCAGTTGATATAGTGAGAAGCGGGCAACTGGAGGCAGGCCTGTGGTTTACGATCTGTGACTAGTGTGGTGGTCTTCCCTAAGAAGGCCTCTAATAAACACAGGGAACACTTCCAAGTGCTTTAAAAGACATCAATTTCCTTCTCTGCCGAACTTAAGTATCTCAAAATGCTTCTGAATTAGAAAATGAGAGCACACATCTTACTTTGTAAGAAAGCAAACGCCTGTCATCTTTGTCCAGAATGAAGCCGTCACTCAGGTCATCTGCTGACATGTGTTTTGGTTTCTTTGCTCCTTCATCCTTTCCAAGCATCCTTCGCAGTCTTTCAGCCTGAGCCAGAGGGAGAAGGAAGTCACATGGGCGCACAGCGCACAGGGCGGGGGCTGTGTCCCCTCCCGGCCGGGCGTCCAGCCGCTTTCTCCTACGCCTCAGCCCAGCACACAGGCACCTGAGTGCTGCCCAGGGCACCGCTCCCTTGTTTAGCCGTGTGAGCTGCTAAACCCGGTGGCGAAAATGCTCTGCAGCGCCGCATGGCCACTGCCAGCCCCGCCCTGCTCGGCGGCCCCCATACCTCCAGCTTCCTGAGCCGCTCCTGCTCCTCCCTTGCCAGTTCTGCTTCTGTCTTCATCCTGTTCGAGGGCTGTGCCTTCATCTCGAAGCCAAGCTCACGCACCATCACATCGTATGCGTCAGGCTACGGGGCGGAGAAGGCAGGCTGGTAACAACACCCTGATGTGGGCAGCCTCCAGCTGCGGCTGAGCCCAGCACCCAGGGCTTCCTTTCTGGCAGTGGCGGCCCAGGCAGCCTTGGGGCTGAGGGTCAGCCCACATGGGAGTCACCTGGACTCTTCTGCTCACCAAAAGCTCTCCAAGTATGCCTACTTTAACAAGGACACTGATGGTGGTGCTATTAAGTGTAGAGCCTGGGAAATCTGCTAACAGAGCAGCAGGTCCATGGCGACTCACAAGGACATACCAAGGCGCGCAGCGGTGACCGGAGCACAAGCCCAGCACTGAGCTACTAGGGCAGATGCAACAGGAGACGATCCTATGGTGGGAAATACATGACACACGTGTGTCATGGCAAGGGTAGAGGGTGCCTGTGTGCTGCCCGGCAAGCACTTCTATCCTCAAAAATTGATTTCATTCACCCGAGGCAGACACGGAAGGCGCCTCGAGTTTACTCTATTCCAACTGAACGTTAGGTCAGAGCCAGGCACCAGAGCTGCCTGCGCTGCTAGCCAGGTGTGGTAGACACACCAGCCTGGGCTGTGACAGGCTCTGGCCCTCACCAAAGCTCAAATATCTGAGATTCACCCCACCCCAATACTCGCTGCTCACTGCTGATCGATCGCTGGATCGCAAAGCCGTCCTTTGTGATCTGCAGGTACCCACCACAACCAAGTTCTCCTTTCCTTGGTCTAGCTAATTTCTTGTCTCTGGGTTCCTAACAAGCTTACCTAGCTCAGCCCCGCTATAAAGCACCACAGGTTCCCTGTTAGAGCCCCTTGACCCCGCTGCTCCTACAGGGTTCCCCATTCACAAGCTGCAACAGCTCTCACTTCACCCCACCCACCCCGCCCAGCCTTTTACCCTACACACTTCCTCTCAGGGTCACAATGCAGTAGGTGCTTCAGGATATAAAAAGGGACCATCCTTTAGGTAGTAGCCTACTTTTCCAAACTAGTTAACTAGACACCACAGTTCGCAGATGCACTCTGTGTCCCCGCGCTCTCACAGCACCAGCCGCACTAACACAACAGGCAAAAAGGTCACTGTAGGACAGTCTACCTCCGTCACTCACCCCATCACCTTCGTGAGCTCATCACACGCGAGACGCTTCCAGCCTAATGACTCCTCCGTGTGCAGCAGATCCGCCTAACGTTCAGAGGAGCCTTTCATCGCTATTTCCACCTGTAGCCCTCTCAATCCTGCCACCTTCTGCCTCAGATGAGGCCCTACAGATGAGCCACCTCCTTCCCTCACACCGGTAGTACTCCTCTTTCCACAGCCTCTGACATGTACTTCATAGATAAGAGCTCAACAAAAAGATACTCACATAGGGCAAGATGTGCTGTAGTCAGATCTGGAGGCCCACTTCACTAAACTTACCTTGGAGCTGCATCTGCCTTGGCCTCAGCTTCTTCCCCTGGCTCTACCTAGACTTGGGACACCTCCCAGGGCACCCACATTCCTACATCCCTAGAGCACAAACATCAAAAAACTAAAAACACCAACACTCTGCCCCAGCCACGGCCATGGTGGAATGACACACTCAGATCACAGGCCCCTCTTGCTTGCCTCCAGCACCCTTTAATTATGATGACGTTGTGCTCACAGCATGATGTCTTCTTAAATTTTTGTCAAGCTTCCTTCCATCTTAGAATGTGAGCTTTCGCTAACGAGGAACCTCTTGTTCTAGCTGAGACACCTGACGCTGGCTCCTGCGTGGGTGTGAACTGTCATCCTGTCCGCCTGCTTGCCCCCGAGATGAGGCCTCATTCAGCAGGAGGCAGCCTAAGGGACATGTGGGCCCTCCCATAACAACCAAAGGATGGAAATGACAGGTTCTGGCCCTAGTATGAACTGCTGAATTACTATGGTGGTCATCTCACATGGCTGAAGCCCCTAAAACAACGGTTTATCTTCCCAGAGACCACCTCCCCCTTCTTGTCCAACCCGGCGCAGGGTGCAGTTTCCTTTCGCCTTTCCCACCGCCCCCTCGGGGAAGACCCCAGTCAGCTCCTCAGCTGTTTCTAAACGCCCTCCTCAGACTCCACCGCTTGCCATCGCTGTCCCGGGCAGGCCGGAGGATCCACCTGTCCCATGTGACCTTGCGCCCCCCCATGTCTTTGGAGTTAACAAAGGCTCTTTTATCTTTCCTATTTCTTTAAGGTGCTGCCTAAAAACCTATCAGGCCACAGGGCAAGACCCTGACTCAAGGGAACAACGAGATGAAATAAAACAAAAATGTTCACTGAAAACCTGTCCTAGGAGGAGGAAAGCCAGCAGAAGCCTGGCTGCAGCCACCGCTCCCCAGAGAAGTCAGTGATGATACAAGCTCAGCACCGGCTTCCGCCTCACCTTGGGCTTCTGCTTCTCCCTTTCCTCTCCACTCTCGGCCTTGGGAGTTTTGTGTGACAGAAGAGTCTGGATTTCTTTCCAGTCCTGGTCCAGTTTCTCCGTGAGCTCAAGGGCATCCTCCCGTTGAGCCTGCCTCTCCCTCTGGACAAAAGGACACATGCACCCGTGATCACCGGGCTGCAGCAAGGCCAGGCCGCAGCACAGCCGCCAAGAGCAGAGAGCAGGGGCATCGATACAGACGCGTGCCAGGAAGTCTCGGCAGCCCGGGAACGCCCGCCATCCCGTTCGTGAGGAGCTCCGAGATGGCGCATCTGGCTAACGAGCAGAGGTGCAGATTCTGGCTGGCCTCCAGCACTACAACCCCAAGCACCTGGAGAAGCGCGTGCACGATGAAACTCAGAGACCCCCAAAGGAGATGAATGCTCACTGAATGCAGGTGAAATATAAAGTGCACCCAAGAGTGTACACGGCAAGACGCCGGAACCTATTTTGGTGAAGCCAATTCCCACCAAGGACACCAACTGCCAACCTTCTCTTGCTTAGACTTTGCAATGAGCTCTTCAATCAGCTCCTTTCGTGACTTCGGCTTGTCTCCCTCTTCCTGCAGGGCAGACTTCTGAAGGAGCCCACCACCACCTCCAAAGTGGGCAGCCGTCAGTTCAGCTGGAGGTGAAAGCACAGAACAGCACCATGATCCCAGGCCCCGGCGCAGGAAGCACCTGTACAGTCCCCTCCCAATACTTCTCCATGGGAGGTCCTCAGAAGTCCACTTCCAACAAGCAAGTCTCCTACACAAGGGCTGGCATAAGGGAAACCCAGCATAAGCTGCTCCAAGAAAATGCGAACAGACCCATGCTGGGCATGGTGGTACACACCTGTAGTCCCAGTACTCAGGAGGCTGAGGCAGGACGATCGCTGTGAGTTCAGGACTAGCCTAAGCTATATGGTAAGTTCAAGGCCAGCCTGAATTGCACAGCGAGACCCTGTCTCCAAAAAAGAAAAAAAAAGTGCAAACCCTTTATTCACTAACTGGACACAGGGACCAAGGGACCAGACGTCCAGCCCCTACTTTCCATCTCATCAAAGACTGGCACCAGAAAAACAGGAGGCAACCAGTCTTGGAGGGCGACCAGCCCAGCCCACCTGTTTCCCTGCACTTGTGTCTGGGTTGGAGAGCAGCTGATTCCTGTCCCTGCCAGTCATCTCTAAGCACTGCCAGCAGGTATGGGTGGGGCCCAGCTGGTTCTAAACCATCCTTCCGCTGGGACAGGAACAGAGCCACTTATCGCCACCTTGTCCTATTCACCTGAGACACTGTGAGAGTAACTCACAGAGAGCGTAAACAATTCTAAAGTGTGGTGGTGCATACCTGTAATCCCAGCACTCAGGAGGCTGAGAGCAGGAGGATAGCTTGAGGCCAGCTGGAACTACATAGCATGACCATGTCTCAAAACCAAGACAACCCAAAAAATGACAAAACCAAAAACCCCACTCTTTACGGTCCAGCTGTGGAGCTGCAGCAGTACACCCCCAGGCACTCAGGAGCCGAGGCAGGAAGACCGCAAGTGCAAGGCTACTGGGCACCTGAGTAAGACTGCTTCAAAAACACAGAACTAGGGATGCAGCTCAGTGCCAGCTGGGCTTAACGGCCAGCATCCACAGCAGACAGAGAATAGAAGAATTACACCGTGAACGTAAATATTATCGACATGAGTGACAGATGAGAATTTGAAAATATAGTAAGCGGCGTGGTTTAGTGCGGAAAAGCAATCTAATAATCAGTAAGAATTTCATCCACAGCTGTACTTCTCTGAGCACAAGAGGAAAATGGATCACTGTGAAATTTAAATAAGAAAATGGATACTAGGGTGTTTCCTCAGCCCATAAAAGCATCTATCTCTGGTTTGAGACAGTCTTACTATGGAGCCTAAGCTGGCCTTGAATTCTCAGTGATCTTCCTGCCTCAGCCTCCCAAATGCTGGGATTACAGGCATGTGCCAGGACACCTAAACGCACCTACCTTACACCTGAAAAATAAAGCTGCGACACACAGAATTCGTTGGAAGGTAAATCTTTCAGGCAATAACTTTTCCTGGCCCACAGGATGAGCCCAGCGCCCCTACCAGACAAGGCTCCTCGCTCTTCAGTGTCACTGTCACTACCCACGACATCATTGTGCTTCTCGATGTCAGCCAGAGACTGGCCATAGTGTGTCAGCTCTTCATCTTCGTTCAGGTTGTAGATGTTCTTTTTCTCATGATGTCGCTGACAGAAGAGACAGAAAGCCCCAGTTACCTAAAGTTACCTTTGCTTCCCATCTGAGAGGTGACATGGCTAGAGCTGACAGAAGGGTGTCTTAGATAAGCCAGCAAGCCAGACAAGCCTCTGGGAAGCAGAGTCTTTGCCCAGCACTAGCCTCGCCCTGGGCCTCCACCTGGCAGAAGGGAAGGCAGTGCCTTTGGTGACAGCTGTGGGACACGGTGCGGCAATTCTGCATGAGCGGCAATGCCCACGCAAGGTCCCCGGACAGGTGCAGGTCTGGAGACCTGTTCCCAGCCTGTGATCAGCACCAGAGATGTGACTGGCCAGCAGGGAGACCACCTTCTCCCTGTGTGTGGCCTCCGGCAAAATCTGCAGCAAGAGGCCAAAAGCACACTTTCTCCAACTCTCCCCATACCTGCTGTTCCAAAGCGAACCTCTTCATCATCTTCTCCTCTGGGCTCATGTTGCTGTTGTACTCCCCAAAGCGCTTGTCTTTAAATACATTGGACTTATCCCTTTCTCTGTATTCCTTCAGTAAAGTCTGGGTACGCTAAAAAACAGACAGTAAATAAATCTCACGAAACATCCCTGTGACTTCCACCAAGTGCAAGCTTTAACGTTCACAGTTACACACTGTGATGTCAAAGTTGAGCCAGTCTCCGGCATTGGTGACAAATCTCTGCTAGGGCCAACTCTGGGACAAAAAATCAACCCACTCTTGGTGAAAGCAGGGTAATTTTTTTTCTCCTCAGTCTACCTGTTGGGACTGAAAGGAAGGATGAGTAAAAAAGCCCACGAGCCCAGCTAAAGACACCTTTCTCCAGCTGCACGGGCAACTCAGCACTGTGTTTCCGGTAAGCTGATTCAATGGGAGAACAACCCATTCCAGAAGCCTCTGGAGGACACGTACTTCCCAGGGAAGACACTCCCAGCAAATGCAGAGTTATGCTTTCTCGTGTAACGTAGGATCTCAGAAATGTTTAGCAGGCCGCACCCCTGTAATCCCAGCAGCACTGGCAGGCTGAGGAAAGAGGATCTACTAATTCAAGGCCAGTCTGGCCTACACAGTGAATCCAAGACCAGCCTGAACAACAGTGAGACCCTGTTTCAAAAAAACTAAAAGAAAAAAAGTAAACTTAACACAATGCTTTACCCACTGTAAGGCATAATTATTGTAAAATAATAATTTTACAATTCACCTTAGATTCAAATGAATTGAGGCACAACTGTAAAGGGTGACGCTGGGATCGCCCTCTACTGCAGTGCACAACTGACCAAAGGAGAGCAGCCAGGCAGTTCACCCCAGGACTAGCACACAGTGGCAGGCCTGCAGGGCGCAGGCAGCTCGGAGGCCCTCGTTCCCCCGTGGGAGCCCTGCGAGCGGCCCTGGAAGAATGCTGTAACCTCCATGTTGGGGTACTTCCGCCTGCCTGAGATCTCTGGTTTCCATGGGACTCAGCCTTTGCTTGGGGCTCCTTTGGATACTTTACTTTCTATTGAGCAGCAGCAATTCCCTGCCCCGCCCTGGTGTGGCAGCTCTGGGAGGCAAGAAACAAAGCAAGGACCACAAGGTGAGACCAGACAGTGAAGGAGCCCGAGGATCGTGTTTGTGGGGGGCTCACTACCCACTAAATGTGCTACCTAATTCTCACACTCACGAGGGGCAGAATGCACGTTATTACCACTGTATAAATGAGAAAACCAACACCAAAGAGGTAAAGACAGATGGATCTCATAGGCCACACTGCCCTGCTCCCCCGTGGCCACACTAACACTGCCGCCCCACAGTGTGTACGGGTGGCCTTTCATGAAGTCCACCCGATGTCTACTATAATACAGCCATTCCACGCAGTAGAGATGGCAGTTCATTTGATGTGAAGCTCTTCTGAGCTATACAACGTGAGACCAACTACACAGTGCAGACTCTTGTTTTTGTGTTTGAAACAGGGTCTCACTACACAGTTCATGCTGGGCTTGAACTCACTATGTAGTCTGGGCTGGCCTCAAACTTGCAGTGATCCTCCTGCCTCAGCCTCGCGAGTGCTGGGCTGACAGGCACACACCTGCATGCTCAGCTCACACTGTACACGCGTGAAGGCAAGGGCTAAGGCTGTTTCCCTCTGCCTCCTCAGCAGCTGGAAAAGAAGTTAGCTGCATGTGCTCAGTGTGCACAGACCTGTACCACCGGCACTTGGGAGGGTGCACGAGAACGACCACTAGAGCACGGCCTGGGGCAGCACAGCAAGACCCGGTCACACTCAGGAAAGTCTAAAGGCTTCGTAGATACTGCACCTGAAACACAAGCCCCAGCCTTCTATCAGCTGTGTGGCTTACCAGCTGAGAAGTGTATTTCTTCTTTCTGTACTTTAGTTAAGAGAAAAGGTCTCACTAACCCAGGCTGGCCTTAAACTCCCCATCCTGCGTCTGAGTGGGGGCATTACAAGCGTGCACCACCAAGTGCACTCTACTCTGCGCCTTAATTTCTTCACCAACTTACTAATGTATCTTCCTAAAAGTACCAATAAATACTGTCTCAAAAAAGTCCAAGGGCGGGCTGTGGTGGCACACACCTGTAGTCCCAGCACTAGAGGCTGAAGCAGGATAGCAGAGTCTGAGGCCAGTCTAGGCTAAGTGCAAGGCCCGCACGCACAACACAGCCAGACCCTGTCTCAAACTCGTGCCCCCGCCCCAGGACCATGTCTTGGAAGCTGCCACTTGTTGAACTGAATTTGAAGGGCAGGTACAGAAAATTCTGTCCGGGGGCCATAAACACAGGAAAGATGGAAGCTATGAGACTTTCCACCGAGGGGAGCATTTCGGTCCCCGAGCGGCAAGGTCACCCGCCTCGGGGCAGGGCCATCCTCCCAAGCTCCATGGAGCAGCCCACAAAGCCTCTACCCACGGTTCCCCAACTGGCAAAGCCTCAAGAACAGTTAGGAGTTGCCCGGTCGCCCAGGCAGCTCAGCAGGGATTAACTCGTCCAGAGGCCGAGCATCGCCAAAACCACGCTCCCAGACAACGTCCCCGGCGCTGCAGTGTCCCAGCGGAAGGTCACCCCGCCCGGGCACGGCGGAGCGAGGAGACAGAACCAGCCCGGGCAGACTGTCGTGGTCTCCACCTTACAGACGGGGAAACGGCGGACCGCGAAGGACGCGGCTGCCTCGAGGCCCCGCGGCCAGCCTCTGGGGACCCACGTGTTGGCGGCGCCCCTCACCTTCCTGATGGCCCGCGCGCGTGACACGCCGGGCAGACCCACGTCGTGGCGCGTCTTCCTCCCCAAGATCTGGAACTTCTGCCTGTTGACTTTCACCTCGAAAGGGTTAGGGTTGGCCTTCGCCAGCGCCCTGCAGGCCTGCCTCCGAGACCCGGCCGTCCTGGCCTTGCCCATGGCGCACGCGCGAGCGACCGGGACACCGCCGCCTTCTAGGCCTGCAAGCTTAGACGCGGAGACCCTGGCGGGACTACTAGGCTAACGCGTGCCGCGGAACAGACCCTCATCTCGCGATAACTGCGCAAGCAGCCCACTCAACCCTGATCTCGCAAGAACAGGACAGGTCCGGGAAGTCACCCGCTGGCTTCCGCTCCGCCCACAAGCCCTTATTGGCTGAGCGACTACAAGTCCCAGCAGGCCTCGCTCCTGCGAACGCCTGGCACGGGACCTTCTGGGAGCCGTGGCGCCCCGCGCCAAGGGAGGGCTTCGGCGCCCCCTTCTGGGAAACCGTTAGGCCGGAGCCGACCAACAAGCGGGGAGCAGGAGGCGACGGCGCCCCCTGCCGGTAAGGCCCCTGTGTGGTGGGGCGTGGCTGAGGCTCCGGGCCGCGCGGGCCGCGGCGACCTGGCCGAGAGAAGCGAGAGCGACGGCGTGGCGGCGGCGACTGGGTCGCTCAGTCGCTGCCCGCTGGAGCCCGCGGCTAGCTCTTCGCAGGCCGACCGGGTCGGCGGGGGCGGCGACGGCGGAGGCGGCAGGTCCTCTGCCCCGAGGCGCTGTCCGGTGTCGCCCGAGGGATGCGCTTTGGCTGCGGCAGTGGCGTCCCCTCCTGCCCAGCCTTCCCCGCCTCCTCGGCCCCGCAGAGTCAGACGGCACCCGAGGCGGCGGCGGCGGCGGCGGCGGCGGCGGCGGCGGCGGCGGCGGTTGATGGAGCTGCAGAACCTCACGGCCAACGCGCTGCTCCTGAGAGCGCGGCTCGGTGGGTGCGCGGCGGCGCCGTACTGGGCTCCCCGATTCCCGGGGACCTCGCCACCCCGCGGGCTCGGATCCCGCCGGGCCGACCCGGGTCCTGTGGTCTGGCCCTCGGGAGCGGGTGGTCCGCGCGAGGTCGGCCAGAACACCCTGTGTAAGCATCAGTGTGCATTTCAAGATGAAAATCCTCGATTAGCAAGCCTGTGGAAAAAAGCATCCTACTCCTGTGAACTACCCCTGCAGTAGATCTCTGTATTACTTCAATGTTTCTGAACTGTTTGTCTCTCCTATGCCTTATTGTATCTAATAATCTATTTTTAGAGGGAGGGAGGGAGGTATAGCTCGGTGTAGCACGTGTGGTTAGTGTACCCCAGGCCCTGGGTCCCGTCCCATACAAGAGGGGTAAGGTCTGAAAAAGTCCTCACCCTTTCCTTGTGTTTGTGCAATGTCGATGTATTTTTTTTTTTTTTTTTAATCATAAAAACAGACTGGAAAGAAAACCGGGCCTTGATTTTCTGTTAATACCCTCACTCTTCAACTCTCAGCTAGGCAGTGTTACTGTGCCCATCGGTGTATCCCACTCTGCATTCCAGATGGTGCACGGGAGGGGCTGGCCGTAGCGGGAAGTCAAGTCTGAGTTAGGTCTACACCTGTGCTCTTACCCCTCTACCTTCACGTTTGGGTGTGATGTTCAGACAGAAACTGTCGTTCCAAGGAAACTTCATTATAATGCTGCAGGGACTGAACAAGGAGGTAAGTGTAAACATTCTGTAAATGCCAAATAAAAAAGAAATAAAACCAGTATATTCTCCACAAAAGCTCAGATCAACAGTGATCAAGTTTCCAAAAATAGAGTTTTAACTTTTGTTTCCTAGGATGTCTTGTATTAACACTGTAATGTGATTTTTAGGAGGCCTGCCCTTGGTGAACAAGACATTTATTGCGTTTGGAAGGAGTCTTTACGTACAGTTTTGTTAATAAAGAAATTGAATACAAATGTTAGAAATACATAGACATATGCTGTGTTGGTTATAATGTAAAACTTTCCCCAAGCTAATAACTATTTGCCTGCTTCAGACAAATCCTAAAATGTATGCATGGTGGCACATGCCAGTCATCCCAGCACTCAGGAGGCTGAGGCAGGAGGATTACTGCCTCAGGTTCAGCCTAGGTAGTGTAGTGACTTTACAAGTCTCTGTCTCAAAATAAACTAAAAAAGAACCAGGGATATAGCTTAGTGCAAAGACCCTGAATCTAATCTTGTTACACACACACACACACACCCCAAGAGATAACCAGGCTTCTTCCAACATGTGAAGGTCCTGACAAGAAGATACTTTAGGAGCTGGGGAGATGGCTTGGTGGCATAAGCACCTGCCTCACAAGTGTGAGGCCCGGAGATTGACCCCTGGTGCCACAGGTCATAACAGCCCTAGAGCCAGCCTTGGGTATGGTGGCACATGCCTGTAATCCCAGCGCTAGGAGTCTCCTGAGTAAATAGATACAGATATAGATATATAAAAAGATACTGTAAAACAGGAAGTTCCCTGATGGACACCGAAACTGTTCTGATTTTCAACTTCCCAGCCATCAGAACTGTGAGTTTCTACCGTTTCTGTCTCAGTTTACAGTATTTTGTTGTGGCAGCCCAAATAGTCTAAGCTGGTTTCAAACAGAAGATTGTGGGCTTTTTTTTTTTTGCGGGGAGGAGCAGGGCCTTGGTTCAGGCTGGCCTTGAACTCAGGCTGTAGCCCGGGCTGGTTTCGAGCTTGAAACGATCCTCCTGCCTCCAACTTGCAAATGTTGGGATCACAGATGTGCATGACTATGCCTGGCTAACCTTTTTATAATTTAAGATTTTTTTACTTGTAATCCCAGTACTCAGGAGGCTGAGGCAGTTTGAGGTCAACCTGGGCTACATAGTGAGTTCAATCTGAAGCTACAAAGTAAGGTCTTATCTCAGAAAAAAAAAAAAAAAGGATTTTCTCCACTTCCTATATTTGTTAAGCAACTTATGGCCTTTGTTTAAATGCACTTAAATTCCTTTATATCATACTTTTCATTAGACAGTAACCCCATTTTATCTCTTGGAAAAATTCGTAGCCGCCATGATTATGTGATAGGTGCGTTGAAAGTTGGTTGGGGTCTGCCATTGTTACTGTTTTGATCTAAAGTATCCCCTCTTTCTCGTGTGTGTGAAGAGGATCGGTCCTGGGGCCCCGTCCTGTCAGTGGGTCGGACTCTTGGTGAGGTGGCAGCTGAAGGTGCTCTTCAGATGCTGGCTGGAGGCGGGAGAGCTGAAGAGTTGCTCTTGTTCCCAGCTCCTTGCTTCTCCCGCTGCTTCCTGGGTGCTGTGGGTGAGCCTCTCTTCACGTAGTGGGGCTGGGCAACAGTGCTGGGGCAGCGCTCAGACCCACCTGCAGCGGTTCTGTCCAGAGTTCCGGTGTGGTGCTGCGGCAGCCTCTAGCATCTACAGCTAATGTGCGCGGTTATCATTAGCACTGCCTTTTGCTGAGGCATCCTCAGAATTGTTTTGGTTACAAAGTGCTAACTTCAGCAGACAGAACACTTATGGAAGGGGCTGGGAACTTGGCTGTACCTGTATGGCAAGCGTGAGGTCCTGAGTTCAATTCCTAGTAGCTCCCAAAAAATTTATGGAACAGATATGGGGTGGCTCAGAGAATTGAGCAACAGCCTAGTATAACAGCCAGGCTGGAAAAGACAAGCTCTATCTATATCTATCTATAGATTTATTTATTCAGCAGATATTTTTGAATACCTGTTGTATTCTAGAAATGTTCTAGGTGCTGTTTCTATAACAATAAACAACATGGTCAGAATTTTTTTTGCCATTATGGAGACCACATTCTCTTTGTCACATTTTTACTTATTTATTTAAATTGGTGCATAATGAATGTCCATATTTGTGTAGTATAATACAGTATTTCAATAAATACATGCATATAATGCACAATGATTAAATCAGGGTAATTTATATATCCACACTTAAACATTTAGCACTTCTTCATGTTGAGAACATTCAAACCCTTTTTCTGTCTATTGTGAAATATACAATTAATTGTTGTTAAGCATAGACACCTTATCTTACCTATAGAACATTAGTAATTGTAACCCTGAGCCAGCCCCCCCCCAAAAAAAAAAAAACCATTAGAAGTTGTAATCACAGCACTTAGGAGGCTGAGGCCGGAGGATCGTTGTGAGTTTGAGACTAGCCTGGGCTACATATTGAGACCCTGTCTCAAAACAAAATTAAGAATGTTAGAAATTACTCCCATGGAGGCCATTTTCTTCCAGTGTGGCCAACGTGGGATGAATGCATAGACACACAATGTGCTAGCAGCGCAGGAGGAGTGCCTAGATGGAAGCCAGCGCAGGGATGGGGTGACACCTGTCCAGGTGCTGTGGGCAGCAGCCAGGCTGGCAGGGCCGCTGACTGGTAAGCAGGGCTCAGTCGTCATGGCTGTCTCTCCCTGCTCATACCTCGCTCCTTCAAGACTCATTGCAGCAGGAGGCAGAGGGCATCACTTGGCTGGCTGGTGAGACTCCTGTCCTTCTCGGCACCCTCAGCAGTAAGAGCCAGGACTGGGGTGACAGTGCCCTGTCACGGGGGTGACAATATGCAGTGCCCTTGTATATTGGCAGAGTCTCAATATGCAAGGTGGGGTGGCAGCAGGAAGAAGCTCCTACCCAGCAGACAGGAGGATGTGGCCGCACATCTGTGACTTAGGCCTGGGCCCGAGGGCTGCTGGGAGAGGATGAGGAGGAGCACAGGAGAGCACGAAGGTAGAGGACGCAGGAGACAGGCCACTGGAGAGAGTCCTTTGCTGCTCTTGGGGTCTCTAGTAGGGACCAGGAGAGTGGAGGGCCCTTTTTATCTCTAGACGTAGATTATCAGCACCTTGCTTCCAGAGCTCCACCCCAAGAGCCACCAACATGCTAGCCTTGGGAAGGGTGGAGCCGCCTCTGTGCTGTTCCAGCACACCCTCATCTTACTTTACTGTTCCATCGCGGGCTTGCGCGGCATGCCCTCCTTGCTGCTTGCTAACTTAGTTTTCCCCAGTCTGACGTCATCTTCTTCTCTGTAGCTTTGTTATCCTTCCAGTTCGGAATGCTCTCTCTGTCCTCTGGGAATTTGGAACTTGGGGTTCATAACATCACACTGTGCATGGCTCTTTCTTTAGCTAAATTGAAATCTCTTTAAGGACAGGACGTTATCATTATTTTTTTTCCCCGGTGCCAGGGATTGAACTCAGGAACTTGTGCTTGCCAGGTAAGAGCTTATTCTACTGAGTTATCTCTCTGGCCCTCGGGACATTCTTGTCTTCATTTTTTGATTCCTTTCAGTGCTGCGCATGTACTTGGTTCTCAGTAAAACTTG